ATTTCTATATTTAATAAAAGCTCTTTTCTTATTTATAGTTTTTTTTAACTTTGGCCGTAAGCCACATAGGTTTGATTTTTAGCCTTTTAAACTTGTTGCCAATGGGAATATATTTTGCAGTGTGTTCACATGCAGTCTTTTTGAAGAACTCCCATTTCTGTGTTGTGTGTTCATCATTGCCAATATTCCCTCCCAGTCTAAGTCTTGGAGAGCAGCTCTCAGCCTTGGAAAATTAGCTCTCTTAAAGTTGAGCGTTTTTGTTTTTCCTGTATGTGCTTGATGTTTACAGCTACCGATAATTGAAAGTATGTTATGGTTACTGCTACCCAGATTTTTTTTATGTGGACATTTATAATAAGCTCTGCATGGTTTGAGATTACCAGGTCCAGCAGAGCATCATTTGTAGTTGGGGCCTCTATGAACTGTACCATAAAATTGTCCTGTAGTAGGTTTATAATTTTTTTTTGCCCTTTAACTGTTCCTGTAGTACCATTACTCCAGTCAATATCCAGGTAGTTAAAATCCCCCACTATTATCAGTGTCCCAGCTGTTGCAGCCCTTTCGATCTGTGCAAGGAGCTGAGTCTCCACCACATTAACACTGGGAGGCCTATAACAAACTCCAATGATTGCCTTTGTAGTACACGCCCCCATGTGCATTCGTCTGATATTCTCATCCTGTAAACGGGCCTTAAAAGCGGACCTTCACTCGAAAAAAGAGAGAGTGCTGCCCATCCTCTTCCCTGTCTTTAACACTTTATCACATTTGATTTTTTTTTGGGGGGGGGGTGGCACCAGAGAGTGGAAGCTCGGCAAATAATCAACTATGGGGATGACCGCACTGGATTCCATGGGCTGGTAAATGTTTGTTTCTTAAAAGTCAGCAGCTATGTTCCTTATAGCTGCTGATTTTTATTTTTTTTTGGATTCCGTCTGTAGCAAAAGCTTAAGCTGGTCATGCAGCAGGGACTGGGCAAACTTTGATCAATGTGTGGCCATCACTGCTCGACAAAACTTGATCATTTGTCTTCCAAATCTTTGATGATAACCTTCTTCCCTCAGCCAGAACATTGAAGATGGGCCATGGACAGGTGTTCCAGCATGACAAATTTCGAAGGAAAATGTTAGAAACCTTTTCTAGATCAATGTGTGTATTCGCTAATCACAATATTCTGACAGCACCCAAAAATGTTTTTTTTAGCTGTATATTTTGTGCTGTTATGACCCACCACCAAAAATAAACCTTTAATGATGTGCATGGAGATACAACATAAGTGTGCATCATATATTGTTTGTACTTTTAGTAGTTCCAAGAAACAATGGTGTGCTTTTTGCCTTCAGAGGGGGCAGTCCAAATCTAATTATCAGGCATCATACATTATAGACACTTTGCAGAGTGATGTTACTTTTTAAGAGTTTACCAAAACCCATGTAGGGTGTTGCATAAACTGCTGGCGTTGTATAAATGCTGTATAATAAAAAAAAAAAAGACAAAAGCTAACCCCTTTTAAGTTCTCCTATATTTCTGATTACTAAGAACGCAGTACAGTGTGGTAAATTTCATTACAGGGTGGATGCAGTGACTGGGTTGGAGGGATAGGGGCAATGTTATTGGGCATCACCTAGTCAACTGCAGACACCTTTAAATAAAAAATTGGTCCCCCAGCAGGTGCTTAAAATAAAAGCTTTGGCTGCAATACCCTCCTTCAAAACACAGCTGTCCCCTGCAGTAATACCTTTTGCCGCAAGATGTCATCAGACTTCTGGACAAATGACACTCTGCCTCATTCCGACTTGAGACTCATGACACCCTTCACTTGTGAAGTGTACAGATAATAAACAGCTTGTATTGAAAATAATAGGATCTCTATTAAGTGTTTTTGCGGATTGGCTTAGGTGCAAAAACGCTCAGGTGTGAATAGAAGGCTTAGACATTACTGTGCTTTGATTTATAGGCATACTGTTGATACATTTTTGTCATCTTTGATTGTGGGTATATACAGTGGGGAAAATAATTTATTTGATCCCCTGAAGATTTTGTAAGTTTGCCCACTTACAAAGAAAGGGCCTATAATTTTTATCATAGGTGTATTTTAAATGATAGAGAGAATATCAACCAAAAATCCAGAAAACAAACCCACAAGATACAAATGTTATAAATTGAGTTGCAGTTAAGTGAATAAAATAAGTATTTGTTCCCCAAGCAAAACACGGCTTAATACTTGGTGGAGAAATCCTTGTTGGCAAGCACATTTCTTGTAGTTGGTTACCAGGTTTGCACACATCTCCGGAGGGATTTTGATCTACTCTTCTTTACAGATATTCTTTAAATCCTTAAAGGTTTCTAGGCTGTTGCTTGGCAATTTGAAGTTTCAGCTCTCTCCATAAGTTTTCAATAGGATTATGGTCTGGAGACTGGCTAGGCCACTCCGTGACCTTAATGTGCTTTTTCTTGAGCCACTCCTTTGTTGCCTTGGCAGTATGTTTTAGGTCATTGTCATGCTGGAACACCTGTCCATGACCCATCTTCAATGTTCTGGCTGAGGGAAGAAGGTTGTCATCAAAGATTTGGATTGGCCCCTCAATGCGGTAAAGTCAGCCTATGCCTTTAGCAGAGAAACATTCCCAAAGCAAAATGCTTCCACCACCGTGCTTGACTGTAGGGATGGTGTTCTTTGGGTCATAGTCAGCATTTTTTCTTTCTCCAAACACGGTGGGTCGAGTTGATGCCAAAGAGCTAAGTTTTGGTCTCCTCTGACCACAGCAAATTTTACCCAGTCCTTCTCTGAATCATTTAGATGTTCAAAGGCAAACTGATGATGAAGACTGTACATGTGCCTTCTTGAGGAGGAGGACCTTGCAAGCGCTGCAGGATTTCAGTCCATAGCAGCATATTGTGTTACCAGTGGTTTTTTGATGACTGTGGTCCCAACTGCCTTGAAATCACTCACAGGCTCCTCCCCGTGTAGTTCTGGGCTGATCCCTCACTTTTCTCATCATCCTTACCCCATGAAATGAAATCTTGCATGGAGCTTTTGATGGTTATTTTGTATTTCTTCCATTTTTGAATAATCGCTCCAACAGATGTCCTTTGACAGCTCTTTGGTCATTTTGATGGTGAGGTTTAAATGGAAGAAAGATTCTGTGGACAGGTGTCTCTTATGCACATAACGAGTTGTCGTTAGGAGCACCTTCTTAAATTGACAGAACTAATCTGTGTACCACAGCCAGTCTGTGGTAGCCAGAAATTATTGTTAGTTGGATCAAATACTTACTTTACTCGCTGAACTGAAACTCAATTCATAACATTTGTATCATGTGTTTTTTCTGGATATCTGTTGATATTTTGTCTCTATCATTTAACCACTAGCACTTCTGAGGATTTACCCACCTTCCTGACCAGGCCATTTTTTTGCGTTACGGCACTGTTAACTGACAATTGCGCAGTCAAGCAATGCTGCACCCAAATTAAATTTACGTCCTTTTTTTTTCCCCCACAAATAGAACTTTCTTTCGGTGGTATTTGATCACCTGTGTGGTTATTTTTTGCGCTATAAAAAAAAAAAACAAAAAAATAAAACACTTTAAAGAAAAAAAAACAATATTTTTGACTATTGCTATTTACATGTCCTGTAAAAACCAGTTCTCCTCCCTGCACAGGGAGCTGACAGGGAGGAGAACTGTTTTGTTTACAAACAGTTCTTCTCACCATTGGAGATCCTCAGCAATCACCAGCCAGGACTCGGTGATTGCTGGCAGCGCAGGTAGGGCGCGCACGTGCCCGCTACCCGGAAATACAAAATCGGGTATATATACGTGATTTTTGCGTACCCATGCCGCCCTGTAGCAGTTTTTCTGCTTCAGGGTGGTCAGGAAGCTGTTAAAATAAAATACACCTATGATAAAAAATGATAGACCCTTAATTTCTTTCTAAGTAGGCAAACTTACAAAATCTGCAGAGGATCAAATAATTATTTTCCCCACTGTACACATTATTCTCTCCTATTCACTCAGTGCAATGTGTAAAATTTTCAGTTGTCAGTCCTGGATGTTGACACTAAATGCTGATGATATTTACATTCAGCAATAACTGTTGATTTGTATTTTTGCAAGGCTTTTTCTGATAATGTGCAAAACAACTTGTTCACTTTACTCTCCTCTAATAGCCTTCCTGTATAAATACAGATTTGTCTGATGTGGCGTTTAATGTATATTACAGATGCCAGCACCTATTGCTTGTTTACACAACTAAGATTAAAGTTGTATTAATGGTTATTACAAACATGTTGTACTTGCCTGCTCTGTGCAATGGTTTTGCACAGTGCAGCCCCAATCCTCTATTTAGTTTCTCTGCTGGCTGTCCTGGCTCTTCCCCCTTATCCAGTGCCCCCAAAAGCAAGCCACTGTGGGGGCACTTTTGCGGTCGCTGCTTGTGTGTCCATAAAACACAGAGAGCCACGTCTTGACCATGCTCCCCCACTGTCTCTTCAATGGTTGTGATTGATCACAGAGTGAGCCAATAGTTCCTGCTGCTGTGTCTCAGCCAGTGGGGAGAGAGATCCGGGACAGCCGTGGCTCCCATGCACATCGCTAGAATGAGAGGGGCTCAGGTGAGTATGGTGGGGGGGGGCTTTGGGGGGAGCTGCACACAGAAAGTTTTTTACTTTCATGCATAGAATGCATGAAGGTAAAATAACCTTCAGCCGTTACAGTCACTTTAACTGTTTTAGGTCTGACAGCAAAATATGCAGTTCCTCTTGGAGTCCCTTCGAACGTGTATGTGTAAAAGCTCTAAGCTGTTAATTGCCCTCTCTCTCTGAAGACACAGCTCTCTAGCAATCCCTCAATAACAACTGAATACCTACTTTCAAAACATTTTAATGGTCTGACTGCCTTTCAGCTGCTGCCAAATCTTTTGCGTTAAATTATCTACCATCAGCTTCAAATTAAACACCATTCCAAAACATAACCTGTATATAACAATATGTTTTATATTTCAGGATGCCTGGTTTAAGTTGTCGATTTTACCAGCACAAGTTCCCAGAAGTAGATGATGTGGTCATGGTTAATGTCCGGTCCATTGCTGAGATGGGAGCATATGTCAGCCTCTTGGAATATAACAACATAGAGGGCATGATCCTCCTTAGTGAACTCTCAAGAAGGCGTATCCGATCCATAAACAAACTCATCCGCATTGGCAGGAACGAGTGCGTTGTAGTAATAAGAGTTGATAAAGACAAAGGTATGGCTACAAATTTTTCTTTCTTGAGAAGAATGTCATACATGGCATTTTGAGTTTGTCTTGTGCCATGCTAGTGGTGATTTCTACCCCTGGAAGAAACCTGTATTGTGCAAGTGTGAATATGTTATGTAAAGTGCTTGTTGGACTTGGAAGTGATAAATTAAAGGAGAAGTACAGCCAAAGCTTCTTTGGATGTACTCCTGTGGATCACAGCAGCGCAGTTCGTTCTGCACCCTTGTGACCCATTTTCAGCTGACAGCAGGCTGAAGCTCGCTTTTGGTTGATGTCACTCAGCTGGTCCAGGCTGTGGAAAGATTCAGGCTGCAAAGCCGGGATCCACCCCAGTGTCTGGAGCTGCACCTGGCTCATCTTGAGCCAGCCACTCCCTCCCCCTCCGCAGTCCAGCGCTCCAGTGAGCGCTGGAGGGGCAGAGCAGACAGCGGTAACTGACACTCGCTGCTCAGAGTGGCTGTGAGATCTCAGCGGTCATGTGATCACTGAGCTCTCACACTTAGAGCTGGCAAGGGACAGATGCAGCATTGGACCGATTTGCCATCCACCTAAGTAAATATAATTGGGGGGAGGGGGGGGGGGAATAAGTCCACACTTCTCTTTTAAATGTGTTATTTTTTTAAATTGGTGATCTAAATCCATCACTTTTCTATAGTTACTAATGGAGATCTATCTAGAATTGTCACAAGGCATTGTGCAAGGGATTGTTAGTCTATAGAATCTCCATCCCATTCCCACTTCCTTCAATTGACTTTGTACCAGGTTTTAGTCAGAAGGCAATTGCCTGAAAAGGAGCAGCTCCTGCTGTGCTGCTTTTTATAAAACCCCAAAATGTCCTGGAAATCCTCATGGGTACACCCATTATTAAATGTTTGTGTGTGTGCGTTTGTATAGATGGTCATAGATAAAGCACCAGTTAAATAACAATTTAATGCTAAACTCTTGGCTGATTGTGAGGGGGGGGAAAAAAGTAGATACAGGTACAACTTATTTAGGAAGATTTGTTTCATCTCCTGTTTATCACCTGAGGCCAGTCACTTTATTGGGTATATGTAAGGGTATGCAACGACTTTCAAGATGTTTTTTTTTTTTAAATGCAGGCAGTGTAAGTACCTGAATTTGATCTAGTATTGACCTCTTGCAGCTTTTCACAGCTGAGCTATGAGAGGAAGCAGAAGCATAAAGAGCCCTTTGGTTGATGTGCTGACAAGAATCATGATGATAGAAAGAGAAAGCAGAGTGAGAGGCATGAGCTCTCCATTTACTCTCTAGTCACAGGCTGAGGAGGGTTCAGGATGACCTGGGCTCAGAGAAAGTGCATTGAATGTTGTTGGCCATCAGACTGAGGACTTCTGGCAACAGAAAAAAGTTCTCCAGGGGAAATCTCTGGCTTGAAAGTGACTATTGCAGCAAAATATGGTTTTCTTATGGTCTTTTAAAGGGACTATTTCATTTGTATCATGTTTTTAGCTGGAGTTCTGCTTTAGGTGGGGGTTTCTTTCAAAACGGGAAGTGAATGGAAGTGTCTCAAAATTGACACAGACATCAAAAAAAATAAAAAAATAAAAAAATAAACACTCTACAGAGGACTTTGTCTTTTTTATATTTTAACAAACTAACAATTACATACATTTTTATGATTTACTGTTGTGACTAGGGATGCTCCTCATTAACCTCACCATGAAGTTTGTAAAGTATAAACTTTTACTTACAGTTCTTGTAAATTGTTAGCAGTATTAGGTATGAAAACTGTCATGCTTGTAAAACGGTAATATTCTTCCCAGGTTCAGTGACGTAAATTTGCCTTGTTTTATAATGTGCTTGAAATTTCAGGATATATAGATTTGTCCAAAAGAAGAGTGTCACCAGAAGAAGCGTTAAAATGTGAAGATAAATTCACCAAATCTAAAACTGTAAGTTTACATCCACTAAATGCATGATCCTGCATATACATACATGCTGAAATACATGTATGTTTGGGACGATTGCTATCTTGAATTCGTTATTAGCACCAGAGGCAGTTAGGTTTTGGTATAAGTAAGTGCAAGGTAACTGCAGTGCTGTTGGGTTTTGGTGGTTCAGCTTCAAAACAACTAGCAATTAAGAGTCAGCTCACTTTTCTGGAATTGATTTTGGGGGATTTGCCCAGTTTTATGTTCCAAAAAAGCAAATTGTCAGAAACCTTCCCATTCAGTGAGTTATATCCAGCCCAATATAGTGGGGTGAAACAACATTTCCAACTTCTTGATTTTCAGTCTTCACAATGTTTTCTGCTTACACAGCCAAAGCATCTTTTATACTCCAACACTGCTGGACAGGTTCTCTGTCAGAATCCAACTATTCATATTTCTTTCATGCAGTCACAGACAGGCCTGGACACTCTAGTGCAGCCATTCTCAACCAGGGTTCTGTGCAACCCTAGGGTTCCTCATGCTATGCGTTCCTTGAGCTGTGGTTGATAAGCTTTCGATTTGAGGATACCTGCATAGTTCTGAGGAATGGCACTTGAAAGAGCTCCCAGTGCAACACCATTGATCACCTATTTATCTGTTTCTAAAGCTGGCATTCTTGACACCACTGTAAGGAGGGGGCATTCTTCCCACTGGCCACCAATGATTGGGTTTTTGTTTTTTTAGCATGGGTTCCCCTAGAGATAAAAATTACATCAGGAGCTTCTCTAGTGTGTCCTTTTTTTCCCTGAACTCTTGACATTTAAATGCACTTTAGGTGCTAGACGGATGTGACCACCTTTTCACATCTAATCTCAATTTAATCCTGCATCCAATTGTAACGCTATCTGACAGATTTTTCTGCAACTATATCAGACTTTCTTGGATAACTAATGGCTTTAATATAGCCATCACATTCCAGACCAGGTATTCTCCAAGCTCATTCTCCACCCCCGCCATCATTGCCAGAGTTGGAAAGTGAAATTTCTTTAGAGGATGCTAAAAACTGATGAGAAATAAAAGGATCTGTAGTGTTAGAGGAAGCCTTTAGAACATTTCTCTACCTCAGCCTCGCATAAACCCGATTTAAGTTTAATGCCATTTCCCATTCATTTTCAAATAGACTCGGTGACTTATGACCATTGGGTTAACCTGAAATTATTTTCTCCATCTCATCTGTTTTACTCCTTGAGAGTTGTTGCTGAACTCTATTCAGTGGACACGGGTCCCAGAAAGCTGCAGGACCATTCACAAAGTGCAGCAGGAAGCTGCTAGGACTCAGACGGCTTCCCCCTTAGTATGACGAAACACGTTGGGTAGATCCTGATGTGATGTCACCACGCTGAGCGCCCTTCTTCCCAAACTTTCTTTTGGCATGCATCAGGATTGCTGCAGCTCTGTGATGTTTTGATGACTTTCTGCTACCAATATATTGTAAGTGCAATACTTTTTTTTTAATACATACACTTTTAGAACATACTGCACTAATTAGTCTGTCTCTTACATACCTCAATTGGTGGAGAGTGGAGTTTACAGTGGGGCGCGGCATAATGGTCACCCAAGTAAGCCAAACTCCCTATAAACATCCTGGAGCTCAGAGTAATAAACCTAGCTCTGAATCATTGGACTGCCCATCTTTTGTGCAAGGTCCCCCCAAATTTGAGTAGAATCGGAACACCACGGCCGTGACCTATATCAGTCACTAAGTGCGTACTATGAGTCAAGCAGCCTTAATGGAAGGAAGCTTGATCATCACATGGGTGGAAAATACTGTCCAGCAATCTCTGCTGTTCACATCACAGACGTGGAGATTTTGAAGGCAGATTAACTCTGTCACTGCCTAGATCAAGGGGAATGGAGCCTTCATCCTGATATCTTCAGATCTCCCTGTCAGAAAGGGGGAGCGCCAAAAATGGACACTTCTGGGCTTTAGGTACAAAAAGTTTCCCTCTGTTTGTAGGATCCTCTAGCAACATATTATCTTAATAATTCCCTGGACCCCATTCCAGTTACTACATGCCTTTCCTCCAGTGAGAATTCTGCCTCAACTGCTCCCCAAAAAACAGCAAGAGGAAACCATTGTTGTTGTTGGGCCTGATGGCACAGTTCTCTGTCTTGTTGCCCACCCTTCCTAATCGTTGCTTGGAGACTTCCCTGGGTACTGTATGATAAAGAGAACAGGAATTTTGACTTTAAATATTTTTAAACAGCGCGCTGGAACGTCCTCCTCCTTCCTCCTTTTTTTTTCTTTTTCCCTTAGCAGCTGGAGTCAATCCGTTCTCCTTACAGAAAGAAATGGTAATGATAGAAGTGACCAGCGTTCTCAAAATAATAAGTTCAATATTGTCTCTGTATAACTGAAGATCAGACGTCATACATCTGTCAGCTTCCTATGAATCCAATGTTCCTATGCAGTGATCTTAAAAATAAAATAAAATATAGTGCAGTATGCTCAATACACCCTGCTTCAAATACTGTCCAATGTGCTCACATATTAATACACCATATGTGTATTTGTTCACCATGTTCTCCTTTATCTACCCTAACCCTTCATATACTTGGTGTATATACAATCAATTATTCTCAGATTCTTTGGGACCATTCGTACAAATCGCACTAATAAAGAGCAGGAAGAAGGTGGAATGGTTTATTTAAAATCAGTTTATTGGAAGTTCGGTAAAGAGCTTGGAGTGTCTTTGGCGATGTGATACACTTGGTGGATCCTTCTATGGGTATTAATGGAAATGCACAGTTAATATATAATGGGAGTGGCTTTCTATCTGGGAGAGATTTTTTAGAAAACAGTATTGCACTACATTGGTATTTTGGGTGAAATGGTGTGGTTCTTTATGTGAGACTACCACTAAAGTACCAGACACAAGGGACACAGAGCTGAAGTGAATCTGAGAATAATTGATTGGATATACACCAAATACCGTATTTTGCGCTCCATAAGACTCACCTAGATTTTAGAGGCAGAAAGCAAGAAAAAAAATATTCTGAACCAATGGACTGCAGACACGGTACAGGGGATGGACCAGAGACTGCGGACACGGTACAGGGGATGGACCAGAGACTGCGGACACGGTACAGGGGATGGACCAGAGACTGCGGACACGGTACAGGGGATGGACCAGAGACTGCGGACACGGTACAGGGGATGGACCAGAGACTGCGGACACGGTACAGGGGATGGACCAGAGACTGCGGACACGGTACAGGGGATGGACCAGAGACTGCGGACACGGTACAGGGGATGGACCAGAGACTGCGGACACGGTACAGGGGATGGACCAGAGACTGCGGACCTTTGGGGAGGGAGGTGGAGTGGGTACCTGAATTTGACAGGTACCCGCTCCCATTTCCGCGGAGTTATCCTTCCCTCTTCTTCCTGCGCCGGCTTCTGTAACAGCCGACTGCGCATGCAGGAGAAGCGCTGCGCTTAGTGAATGGCCCAGCGCCTTCTGGGACCTTTCATGTGTCCCGGCGCGAGAGGACTACAGGGCTGGAGCGAGGAACAGGTAAGGTCCTGCAGGAGAGAAGAGCTGAGCAGCCTGACTGATATTCTGACATGGTGGCAGAAATACCGGACCGGCTGCTTTATATTCGCTCCATAAGACGCACTGACATTTCCCCCCATTTTTTGGGGGGAAAAAAGTGCGTCTTATGAAGCGAAAAATACGGTATATGAAGGGCAGATAAAGAGGAAACACTTGTGAAAAAATACATGTATGGTTCTTTATTATAAATGTGAGCACATTGGACAGTATTTGAAGCAGGGTGTATGAGCATACTACACTATAATTTTTATTTTTATTTTTTTTTTTTTTTATTTTTTTTTTTTTTTTTAAGAACACAGTATAGGAAGATTGGATTCATAGGAAGTTGACAGATGTATGATGTCTAATCTTTGGTTATACAGAGACAATATTGAACTTGTTGTTTTGAGAGCTCTGGTCACTTCTGTCATAGGAATTTTGACTTAACTGTGAATTCCATATCTTGGAATGCATTACAGGACATAGGCCGACCTCCCCTCTGTTCCTGTTACCCTGCAAAAAAAAAAAAAAGTATTACAGGATGGGTTAGGGTTACTTGGGTACGCCCAGAGTACTGCCTGTGTTCTGTACTTTACTGTACTCCAATACATGAAATTTACAGGCAAGTCAAAATTCTTCTCTTAATGATGCCACAGTGCAGAACATTCAAGGGTTTTAGGTGTGGGCATCTGGCAGCTCATGCATTTACTGTTTGTTTTTTAATGTTACTACAGGTTTACAGTATTCTGCGTCATGTAGCTGAAGTTTTGGAATACACAAAGGATGAACAGCTAGAAAGTTTATATCAAAGAACCGCCTGGGTATTTGATGAAAAATACAAGAGGCCAGGATATGGCGCCTATGATGCCTTCAAACATGCAGTCTCGTAAGCACAATATTTTGGAATCTAGTAATCCTGACTTAGTTTTTATTACAATTTAAAACTTTGCATTTTAATGAACTTTCTGAAAGAAGCTTTGATTCTAAAATGGCATGCATTATTTCTGTAGAGATCCATCAGTTCTGGATGGACTAGATTTAATAGAAGAGGAAAGAAGAGTCCTAATTGATAACATTAACAGACGTCTTACGCCACAAGCTGTAAAAATCAGAGCAGGTAACTACAGTAATATTAAGTCTGTTTTGTTGTTGCTTATGTGTGAGATCTTATCTCTTTCAGTTTAATGAGTATTTCTTCTGTTGCCAGTTTTACAGGAACTAAAAATTTCTGTATGCTACGAAGAGTTGGACTGATCTCCTAGATACCTTAAACTTGGTGTCGCCTTTTTGCCTAAGGGCCATGTCACATTAATGATACTGTTACTGGTGAGAGCTTGCCAGAAGTAGGATAGCTTTGTAGGGCCCCGAAGAACCATGTCACACTGGCGGCCTTGCCACTGGTGAGAAAATGCCAGCAACAGACTATTTTAGGGGGACCAAGCGGAGCATGAAAATCTCACCAACTTGCCTGTGTTACACACTCTTGCTGGCTATTTTAATTTTTGTAGTGTTTTTGCTTGAGGTGATTGTAGCCGTATTAGTGCATTTGCGACAGAAACAATTGAGTACTGTCCGTGATACTTTTTTTATTTGCACTAACATACAATTTTGAGGACAAGCTTTCGGGGTATGTCCCCTTCTTCAAGGTCTAAGCAGTACTATTAAAAATCACAAAGTTTAAGCAGAATGTTAGAATGGATTGAGAGAAAAAAAAAAAAAAAAAAAAAAAAAAAAAAAAAAAAAAAAAGGGCTACAGATAAGATACATCAAAAGTGAGGGGGGGAGGGGGGATACAACACTCACACAGAGGGGGTCAAGTTTTAGCTAATAGATAGTCATAAAGCTGTCGGATAATGGTTGAGGAATCCCATGTCCAAATTCTATTTGACACTAAAGATAACGGTCTTAATTTGGACATGGGATTCCTCAACCATTATCCGACAGCTTTATGACTATCTATTAGCTAAAACTTGACCCCCTCTGTGTGAGTGTTGTATCCCCCCTCCCCCCCCTCACTTTTGATGTATCTTATCTGTAGCCCTTTTTTTTTTTTTTTTTTTTTTTTTTTTCTTTTTTTTTTTTTTCTCTCAATCCATTCTAACATTCTGCTTAAACTTTGTGATTTTTAATAGTACTGCTTAGACCTTGAAGAAGGGGACATACCCCGAAAGCTTGTCCTCAAAATTGTATGTTAGTGCAAATAAAAAAAGTATCACGGACAGTACTCAATTGTTTCTGTAGTGTTTTTAGAAGCGAGAGAGGGACACCTCACTGCCAAAGCCAGTGAGGGAGCTACATCTAAAAAGCAGGTATGTGCCTGCCTTCTCTCCAATTCAAGTGATCCTGTTGCAACTTCTGGCTAGCAAGTGGATTGTTAGTGTGACATGGGCCATAGGAATGGGAATGCAAATGTATAATAACTGTATTAAATGTGTATTATCAGTTAATATAGCATTTGAAAGACAAATTTAACCAGTTTTCCTCCGCCCTCATTACGCTTCCTAGCTACCTATTACCGTTTCGGAGGCCCTGAAATGCCGGGATAGCACCAATCCCCCACAAATGACCCCTTTTTGGAAAGTAGACACCCCAAGGAATTTGATAAGGGGCATGGTGAGTGTTTTTCAGATCTTGTTTAATGCTGGACGTTTTTGGAAAATGAAGAAACAAAACAAAGTTTTTTTGTTTTTTTTTTTTTTTTTCTTTTTTTATATTTCAAAACTTTGTGAGAAAAGTTAGATCTGCAAAATACTTACCATGCCTCTTTTTAAATTCCTTGGGGTGTCTACTTTCCAAAAAGGAATTTAAAAAGAGGCATAGTGAGTATTTTGCAGATTTAATTTTTTCTCACAAACTTTTGAAATATAAAAAAAGAGAAGAAAAAAAACATGTTTTTGTTTTCTTTCTTCATTTTCCAAAAATGTGCAGCAACAAACAAGATCTGCAAAACACTCACCATGCCCCTTATCAAATTCCTTGGGGTGTCTACTTTCCAAAAAGGGGTTATTTGGGGGGTGTTTGGTGCTATCCTGGCATTTCAGGGCCTCCGAAACTGTAATAGGTAGTTAGGAAGTGTAATGAGGGAAAAAAAAGCCCTTTAAAACCCTGAAGGTGCTTATTGGATTTTGGGGTCCTGTACTTTGCTAGACTGCCAAAAAGTCTCTCATGTGGTACCCCATACTCAGGAGAATTAGCAGAATATATTTTGGGGAGTAATTCCACATATCCATATATCCACATATACCCATGGCATTCCATGAGTGGGGGCATTCCAGGGCCTCCGAAACTGTGATTGGTAGGAAGTGAAATAAGGAAGTTAAGCGCCTTCAGGCTTTCAAAGTGGTCATTGGATTTCAGACCATTGTATGTGGACTCAATATGCCTCTCAGCAGATAGCTTAGGATATCTACTTTTATTTATTTTATTTATTTCAGGTACGTATATAGCGCCGTCAATTTACACAGCGCTTTACATATATATATATTTTGTACATTCACTTCAGTCCCTAACCCTCAAGGGGTGTACAATCTAAGGTCCCTAACTCACATTCATACATACACATACTAGGGCCAATTTAGACAGGAGCCAATTCACCTACCAGCATGTCTTTAGAGTGTGGGAGAAAACCAGAGTACCCAGAGGAAACCCACGCAGGCACAGGGAGAACATGCAAACTCCATGCAGGTGGTGCTGTGGCTGGGATTCGAACCAACGATGCTAGTACTGCCAGGTGGAAGTGCTAACCATTTAGCCACTGTGCTGCCCCTAAAGGGGTCATTTGGGGGTGTTTGTACTATCCTGGTATTTTAGCACCTCAAGAAATGTGATGGGCAGTCAGATAGTAAAAGCTATGTAAATTCCATTATCTATACCATAGTTTGTAGATGCTATAACTTTCACACAAACCAATATATATACTGTTATTGGGATTTTTTTTTTTTACCAAAGACATACAATACATTTTGGCCTAAATATATGCTGAAATTTGAGTTTTTGGATATTTTTTTATGACAGACATGAGGAGAAAATAGTTTTTAAAAAAAAAAAATTTTTTCTTTTTTTTTTTTTTTTCTTTTATAGTGGAAAAAAAAAAAAAAAACACACAGAGCTGATCAAATACCACCAAAAGAAAGCTCTATTTGTGTGAAAAAAAGAACATAAATTTTATGTACAATATTGCATGACTGCACAATTGTCAGTTAAACTAGTGCAGCACTGTATAGGAAAAAATGGCATAAATTGCAGTATCTATACCATAGTTTGTAGACGCTTTAACTTTCAAACAAAGCAATCAATACACTTATTGGGATTTTTTTACCAAAAGCATGTAGCAGAATACATTTTGGACTAAATTTATGACTAACTTTGAGTTTACTATATATTTTTTATAGACAAGAGTAAAAACTTTTTTTTTTTTTTTTTTGTTTATACCACAAAAGATAAGTGCACAGGTGATCAATTTCCACCGAAAGAAAGCTCTATTTTTGTGTGGGGGGAAAAAGGACGTAAATTCCATTTGGGTACAGCATTGCATGACTGGACAATTATCAGTTGAATTAGTGCAGCGCCGAATAGCAAAAAGAGGCCTGGTCATTAAGGGGGGTAAATCCTCAGGAGGGCAAGTGGTTAAAATAAGCCAGGAAGGGGGGCGTGGTCTGCCGCGGCTGGAAGATGGCCCGCATAGAGAGGGAGCTCCCGCCGGCCGGATCCCTCTATATCGCCGCACGACGGAGCGGGGTGAGAGGGAGCTGTCACATCATGGGGAAGACTGACCGGACCTCATCCGGTACCCGATCGTGCTCCCCACGGGGCCAGGGTGTGCAGGGGAGACACATAAAGGAGCTCTTCCGCTCCCAACAGCAAAGGGAGGGGCCGCAGCCATCTCCTTCTCCTGCTGCATCCCCCTCCGCCCCCCTCCTCCTCTCTACGGCTGCTAATACTGTTAACCGTTCCTGCTCTGACATGCAGGCAGCCACAGATACAGTGCCTCAGCATGATGTCCCCTCTGCCTCACAATCTCTGTCCCTGAGGGATCTTCAGGCTGTGGCTGCTGACATTAAGGCCACCCTGACAGCCACACTCACTGCTGCATTGGGGGATCTGCATAATGATTTAAGGGCCATGGGTTCACGATTGGATCACGTGGAATCCGCATCCAGGCAAAATGGTTCCGCAATTCTTGATTTACAACATCGGTCAACGATACACGCGTCAACTATCAGAGAGTTCAACAGGCATATTGAGGATTTAGATAACCGTGGCCGCAGCAGGCGTAACATCAGAATCTGCGGTCTCCCAGAATCAGTAGAAAAATACCGATATTCCCAAGGCAGCAATGGCCATATTCAATAACCTCCTTGGTCGCCCGCAAGCAACCCGGATTGACATCGAACGTGTGCACAGAGCGATCCGCCCCAGGAGGGGAGATGCAGACCCACCCAGGGATATTGTTTGCTGCCTAGTCAGTTTCCCGCTCAAAAGAAGATGTCCTCCGCTGTGCTAGAGACAGAGGGCGCCTTTTATATGAGGGGACAGAAATACAACTGTTTCAGGACTTATCCAGTACCACCCTACGCCAACGGCGCGCTTTACGCCCTCTTCTGGACATGCTCCGATCGCGTAACATTCCGTACAGATGGAGGTTCCCCTTCTGTCTCTCTGTACAAGTTAGTGGTCGTTCTTACAACCTGTGCACCCCTGAAGAACTGCCCTCTTTCTGTGCCTCCATAGACATCCCGCTGATTGACCTGCCTGATTGGTTCAGCTCCATGAGATTGCCGCTATCCCAGGATTTGGTAGCCGAGGATAGTGCTATGGATTGGCGCGGTCAGTCTTCTCGTAGAGGGCGGATGGCCCATCGACCCCTCCGAGACCCCTCATGGGGGACGCCACGACTACCTTCAGTCCGACGGCCTCGCCAGCACACAGGAGGCCAAGACGCGAAACCTAATGGTCCCTGTTCTTCCCTTAACATTGCTACTTTGATGCATACCCTGCTGTGCACGTTCTACTGTTACTGCCCACCTTTTTTCGTCCACCCGCCCCATATGTTCTAGTTGCGCACTTGCGCTCTCTGATCAATGCTCGTCGGACTACTTTACCACCTTTACTATTTAT